CCCCCCCCCTCGAGGACGTCCGGCACCGGAAGACCACTACGTCGAAACACGGCCGCTCATAGATATCGTAAAAACATTGGGATCGTTCCGTATGCCATTGTCAGACGTGAGCGTCGTTCGTTAGATGCGGTTCGAATTTACCCACCAAGAAAATTGCAGCCAGTACTTGTTCCAGATTTGCAGTGGCCGGTTTCCGATTCAAGTTCAATTGTATTCGCTTATGTGTCCCCGGAGAGACGTGGACGTGACGGACTTCCATTTGCTCCCCTGGCAACGTAGCGAAAGGACGGAACGAGCAAAAAGTGCATATTTTTCACTGAATAGCCATACAAGAGCATTTGATCTCGTTTGTCAGTAGTTCTTTTGCACGCGTAGCTGGACAGGCATTGAAAGGGCCGATGAATCTTTTCACTTGGCAAAAGAGAAATCAGCGTTTAGGCCGCCGCTTTAAAGCTGCCTCTGGAGGGATTTGTCTGGTTGGATGTCAGTGCTGGGTGTGAGTTTCGTTTTTCTCTCAGATTGACGGTAGGTTGGAAGAGCTTTGATTGGGGGAGCTTCGGCAACGTAACGGTTACGGTAGTCTTTTCGTTTTTGTGCGAGTGTTTCTGCTCCGGTGCTCCATAGCAAAGCATGCCACAGCATTGGCAGGGACAATTGTAGAATCGTCCGTATTCGCTTCCGTGTATATACAACGTCATGTTGTCTCACCTTTAAGTCGATGGTGACTCTGCATGAGTTACAGCGAGCATCTCCAACCTCTTCTTTTTCCTTTTTTCCCGTTACAACAAACACGACACCCGGTACCGTGCAAGTATCCATACAGTCCGATTAAATGTAATGTCAGTCTTCAGTGAGAGCGAGTACGGACAGTAGTTCAGCAATTTTCATAAGTGCTTCTAGTATGTTGTCAGTAGGAAGAGCGTTTTCCAGTGAAACTTTTCATGGGCAGTGAGTTTTCACAGAACCAGATTTTATGAATATTTCTTCAGAGTAATTAACTTCAAATTTTTATAAATAATACATTACAATAAGCACGTATAGTTTATCATTTAAACTGTTTGCCACAGTTTGAACGGGTCGACAAATACACGACCGTTATTCAGTTCGGAGCAGGATTCGCAACGACGGTGAATGTAATGATGGTAAGCAATCTGTAGGTTAGGTTGCACTCGGAATAATCGCCTTCCATCCGGTTGGCGAACCGAGTTTGTCTCATACTGCGAATCATTGAATAATTGTAATGCCGAATCAGGGTAAGCATACAAATAAGCAGCTATAAGCAGTTGCGCCATAGCGAAATAACAAGTAATTGTGGGTGCTTGTCGGAGATCGGTGGTAACAGCCAAAACGGATCGTATTAGCTGTGTTCTCTGTTCATCTCGCTGTCAATATGTCAGTTCTAGGTTGTTTGTTTCTCTCCGCTTAGTTGGGTTTGTTTTACGAACTACTTATATAAAAGAGGAGGCAGTCATCCTCCCTGCATGAAAATAGCACCAAGAATCTAACAAATATTTATTTCGATCTTTGCTATATCTTCACTGTGGTCACTGCTGTAAGCAACATATACGATATAACATTTCTGACGCTGAGCCCGTTCCAGAAATAATGTTTTCATGGTTGAGAGGCATCAGACAACACAGATGTTAATAATTGAGCAATGTATACGAATGTCAACATCTGTGTTGTTTCGTGCGCTCAAACATCTGTAATTGCTGTAAAGTAAATGTGCTTATGTTCGAAGAAAGAAATGCACTATACGCTGTAAGCTCACTGCGTGTCGTTCCCGTTTGTTTGACCTTGTAGTTCCTGATTTCACTCACTCCTTACACTAGAAACTCAACGGTAGACAAACTTCAATATTGCTTACTAAACCATTCTATGGCACTTTCTTACCGGATGCTCAGAAGACGCGCTTCCATTTTAATGCGAGTAGATGTACCAGAAATAAGCGTTAAGCCCCGCTACTTCTCTGCTCTTCACTTTCACCTTCCGTAACCGCTTCTCTCTTCGGGTCACGGAGGCAGACACGTCAGAGAGAGCTTCCAACGTTCCCGATCCTGTGTCAGAGTCTGAGCTTCGACAGAAGACAGCCAGAGTCGGAAACAGGTTAATCTTGGCCGACCCCGGGGCCTTTTGTCGGTCAGCTCGGCAAGTAATAGTTGCTTCGCCTTCCTCTCTTGGAGGCATCCGCAACGCGGCTGTGACTTTCCAATCTGAAGCAGTACCGGCTGTACAGCAAGGGCCTTTCGGATTTCATTATTACTCCGGGTAATGCGTAGAGGTATGAGGCCAACGACTCGTCTCAGAAAGCCCATTTCTGTCGCTTCTTCCAGGATTGAAGTTTCTTATTCACAATTCACGACTCATTACCGTAGGTGAGTATGAGGATAAAGATCGACTTTAGCACTGAGGGCTTAGTATTGAGACATTGCTCTAATTTAGTCACAGTGGTTCGGGCGAATTCACGCAGAACGCCACTGGCTACTCCAACCCGCCGGCCCATTTCTTCCTCAAATTTTAGATCACCAGTAAACATGATTCCGAAGTTCTTGAACTTCTGCATCAGCTCTACTGCCTCTCCGATATGCGTATTGAAATTGCCCATGATTATGAGGAACTCCCTATTCGGCACTTCGTACAGAGGACGGTCAACTTCCTCAAGGATGAACTCATATTCTCCCTCTAAATTGGACGCATGGACCTATAACAAAGTCAGCGTTTTAGCCTGTAGTAGCTCCAGTTAGTAGAATGCCTCTCTTATGCTGGCAGGCTTCCATTCGCTGATTCCATAAGCCAAGTAGGGTTTTGATAAAGTAGGGTCAAACACGGTTTACTTATACACAACGCTAAAGATACTGTGGTCACTCCGGTGACTGACCATTTCCGACGTTTCGGCTCGTGTCTCAGGGCCTTGTTGAAGACAGATTTGTGGTGAAGTTTCGTGAATGTGGTTGGTCGTCCGCAGCGGTCGATGGTTTCGGATCCAGAAGGCAAGCTTTCGGTCCGTGCTGCAGGTTAGGTTGTGTTCTACCGGTGCATCAGTATGAACCTGAGCATCAGTCGTGATATCGACACCTGAGAAGAACAGCTTCCACCCATTGAGGTTCAGGAGTCCAGAGCCTGGGCGTTTCCTTGACGAGAGTCCAACAATGTCGAGTTGGTACTTTATGGCCTCATCAAATAATTCTTGTTCTTTTCCTCTGAGTGGTGATATACTCCAATTTTCAACTTTAAGCTCCTACTGGAGGCGTCGTTCTCGTATAGCTATTTCTGACGTGCTATAATGGCATCGCGCTGTTGCCTCCTCCGTTGAAAACGGGTAGCGACTCAGTTGCTGACTGGTGTCTTTGTCCTCGTTCCGACGGTCTTCGTCAGTCGTTGATGTCCTGCTACGCCCCCGGCTGGAAGGGGGCAATGAATAGGACAGTCAGCCTCGGTCCCCAACAGCCTTCCCCGTTCCCTCAGCCCCGGTA